AAGTCTTCTGCTGCTTACCAGAGGATGATAATTGTCTTGTCCTGCACTGAGAAGACCTTGTGTGGTTGTTTGAGTCACTTTAGTTAGAAGCTGAGCTAGCCACTTTTTTCAGAATGCCGTTTCTGTTTGAAAGGACAACTGGCAGACATTTTCTTGAAAATGAGTGAAGTGAGCCTGTCATTTCAAGGAAAACAAGTGATAGTATTTGACAATGCCAAGATTTGAACTTTCAAGTAAAAATTAGAATTTTGAAAAAGTTGTATCCACTACCCTGAGCCTGACAGCTTGTCTACATCTACACATAAGGCTTTTCTTATGAGATGAATGATGATATTAATGAATGTGATTTAAAAAAAAATATTGTATATAATAAACTGTGTCCATATTTGGAAGATCTGCAAACCTTAGTAAACCAATATTTTCCATATAACTAATGCATGACATTACAAAATCATATCTGAGTAGAATCACAGGGTAGGACAGATCAATGGATTTTAATGTAACAAAGTTCAAAAGATTATTGATAAAGTTTTAGATTCACATTGTGCACAAACCTTTAAGAAACTATCGCTTGTTGAGTTTTGGTCTAGTATCAGAAAGGCTATTGAAATGTTCTTCCCTTCTCCAACTACATAGCTGTGTGAGGATTTTCTTCATCTACTTTAACCCAAACAGCATCTTACAGCAGATTGAATGTAAAAGCAGATAGAATCTAGCTGTCTTCTAATAAGTCAGATGTTAACAAGATTTGTAATAAACATAAAACAGTGTCTTTATTTTCACTAAGTATTTTTGTTTAAATGCTATTACTGTTTGGGTGGGAGGGGCAGCTGGCTGATATGGGGATCCAAATCCTTGACCTTGGTGTTACAAGGCGGTGTTCTAACCAACTGAGCAACTGGCCAGCCCTAAATACAATTACTTTTTATAAGTATATGTTATACAGGTTGCTATGTAATGGGCTTATTGCTTTTTTAAAATTAATAAATAAATATCTTCAAATTTCTCAAAAACACAAGTTCGTTGGGGTACTCAGTAATTTAAAGAGTGTAAAAGGGTCCTGAAACCTAAAAGTTTGAGAACTGTCATGTTAAGTAAGAGGAAAAATGTAGTAATTTCATCATGTGATGATTAATGGTGTTTCCTATAAACTGTTGTAATATTGATTTCTGGTGATTTTTGTCAAGTTTTACATCTTAATCGTCTAGAAATATTCATGCATCCAGGAAATTTTAATTTGTCCTAAAGGCATAGATAATGCCCAGAGAGTACTGTATTGGATTCTGGGGGACACAAAAGATGAATTAAGTCTCAGTTTCTGTACTCCAGAATGTACCATCCCAGAGTGGGTAGAGGTAGGAAATGTCCAAATTAGTCAGCGTGGAGTGTCATTTTCTTATAGTAACGTATGAACTGCAAAAGCTGCAGCAACAGGGAGTGCCATTCAGTTAAGGGGCCGGATTGTGACTGTGCCATTGATTCTAGATACAGCTGCGTGCTGGCTATTTCCCACCAGTCTTACTTCTAGTTTTTTATCTTTAGTTTATATTCTGACAGTTTTTTTGTCAGATTCATCCAATTTTCTCTATTGGGCTGTAATGTGTTCTATCCTTTTACATCTTGGACCTAAAAAGTATTTCTACCATTTACTCTATGTTCTGTAGTTTCTGGATGTGGTAGTCTAATGCCATTGTCTGCACTTTGGATCCTAATCCTGCTAAAAAATAACTTTGTTTTGTATCTCTTGCTATGAAACCCTGATATTTAAAAGTTGCATATGATTTTAAAATACTTTTGGTGGTTTTTAAATAAGATTTCAAGAAGGTTCTTTGTTTTATTTTTATTTTATGTTTTGTAACCTACTTATTTTATTAGTACTCTTTTAATTTAAATTTGAAAGAAAGAAACAATTTCTAGTTTAGGCTCTTAAGACACCCTACCACATTTTTGTTGGTTTCGCTTGTGTTATTATTTGCATATTAATAATTATTTGCCTCCTATTCTTACGGAAATAAGGAGATTAAAAGTAGTTCTAGTTAACAAGGTATTTCGGTGTTTTATTATCATGGCACATTATTCTTTGAGCTAAATATGATGATAATATTGGCTTATTAAAAGAAAAATGAGGGCCGGCCCGGTGGCGCACTGGAGAGTGTGCTGCTTGGGAGTGCGGCGGTGCTCCCGCCGAGGGTTCGGATCCCATGTGGAGACCGGTTCCCGCTCACTGGCTGAGCGCGGTGCAGGCGCAACACCGAGGGTTGCGATCCCGTTACCGGTCAGTAAAAAAGACAAAAAGGAAAAAAAAAAGAAAAATGAACCAGGAATGTTTGTCCTGGAGTTGTCAAGGACTTAACAGTGTGTATGTAGCAGTGATGTGGAAGTGACTTGAGTATGCTGGAATAACACAGACCTTTTAGAAGAGCTTGAAGGTTGAGCTGTAGGCGTAAGTTACTGGACAGCCTATGACTGAAGCTTTCTGAGATGATACATTTTGGCTAGTTCTACTTGTAGTCAGGAAAGCATTTAAAAATAAAGGATTAGAATGTTTGGCAGCCTATTTTGCTCATAACTAGTTAGGAGACAGAAAGAGACAAGTTGGAAGAGAAATGGTGGTAACATTGACTGCTTGTTTTCCTAAAGAAGTATTCATGATTAAAATAGCCTCCTGGCTGATTTGATTCCTCTACATACCTCCTAAAACAGATCCTGGTAATTCCTAACTAAACCTGCCACAACAATTTATCTTCTAGTTTATTTTTTCCAATATGCCGCACCCCTACTGAAGAAACGAAGGTGACTTGTGTGGCATGTTCAGCGCTTCATGCCCTCCCTCTCAGCCCGCTGCCTCGGTGTGGTTTCATTCCACGCAGCACTCAGTCCTTTTTGCCCAGCTGTTGGGCTTATTATTTCTTCAGAGGTCTCTTCAGAACTTTGCCACCTCGGGCCGACCCCATGGCTCACTCGGAAGAGTGCGGCGCCACGGGTTCGGATCCTATATAGGGATGGCTGGTGTGCTCACTGGCTGAGCGCGGTGCAGGTGACACGAAGCCAAGGGTTACGATCCCCTTACCGGTCACATAAAAAAAAAAAAAAGAACTTTGCCACCTCAAGGAGTGTCTCCTCTGGAAGCCTGCCTGATTTTGATAACTCCCCTTGGCACTTTCACATTGTTTCATGAACATAGTGATTGGGCCTGTTTTGGTGTTTTGGGGATGGATGCTACCTCCCCAGCTGGATAAACTGTGTGATTCTTAAGGACTGGACCGCATGTCTCCTTTTCTTTTCTTTACTCTTCTCTCTTCCTTTGTCACGTCTGCTGTCCAACTTTGCCAGAATAAGTCTCTTCATGAGAAAAATTTTTGGATTAAAAGAAAATAGTACTGTACCTAAGAGCCCTAGAGGAAATACTGTAATAATAGTTTTCCAAAACTCATTTTAACAACTTCATATATAACAGGTGTGGGTGTCAAGTCAATGGGAGAAAAACAAGAGATGGTGCTTCCTATTGGGCCCTTTGCTTTATTATGTTCTTCATCTCAGTCCAAGCCAACAAATAGCCATTAAAGCAACTCTCACTACTCAAAAGCCTTGTCCTTCTCACTTTTGAAAATTCAGTGGTGCCTATAAAATACAGCAAAGTCTTATCACTGGGTGTGGAAAGGTTTTCCTCAGGTAGCCCATAGATGGTTATGATTCCAAGTTGCAGATACTAGAGAGTTCTGGGAGGGCAGAATTTCTGTGTCTACCTCTACATACCCAGTCAGCCCTGTGCAGGGCCTGGGGCTAAAAAAGACATTCAACATGTATTTCCTGAACAGAAGAAGAGAGAAACGCATTGCACATTGTGGGGGTGTGGGGGTGGGGAGTAGTGAAATAGGTGGGAGATCAAGAAAGCCTTCATGGAAGAGTGACTTTTAAAGGGAGCCTGGCTGGTTTGGATTTGGAGCAAGAGAGGGGAGAGTGTGACAGGTGCAGCAAGACTGGCACAGATGACAAGCAGACAAGCCCCTTCACCTCGACGGCCCCCGCGGTGCTCACTTCCTCATTGTCACACCTCTGTTCAAGTTCCACTGTATTTTTTTTTTTTTTTTGTCTTTTTTCGTGTCCGGCAACAGATCGCAACCCTCAGTGTTGCGCCCGCACCGGACCGGGACCGGCAATGGGATCGCAACCCTCGGTGTCGCGCCCGCACCTCGCTCAGCCAGTGAGCAGGAACCAGTGTCGCACCTGCACCTCGCTCAGTCATTGAGCGGGAACCGGTCTGTATGTGGGATCTGAACCCTCGGCAGGAGCGCCGCCACACTCCCAAGCGGTGCACTGTAGCAGTGCGCCACCGGGCCGGCCCGAAGTTCCACTGTATTAAGAAGGCTTTTATTGACTGCCATGTATAAAGACTGTAAAAATATTTCATTATTTACTATATACTTACTATTTTGGCAGTTATCATTGTTTGACCTATTGTGTGTTTGTTTTTCTTCAATTAGGATATAAGTTCCAGGAAGGCAGGGACATTGTCTATTGCTTTAGTCCCAACACCTAGGACAATTCCTGGTTTATAATAGGTGCTGCATAAATATTTGCTGAGTGAATGAATAATTGACTGAATGACCCAGTATGTGTCCTAGGAAAAATAAGTTACCTCATTTGTGTTTAATAAGGTTTGTAGTAGGACACCCTGAAATGTTTTGAAAAGAAGAAATGCCTGACTGGGATTGTACCATAGGCATGTCCGTCTCTCTGAGATCTGAAAGAACAATGGTACAGGAAGACAGTCACGACAGGGAGCTGCAGTCCTCAGGTTTTTAGAAAGAAAAGGTTTTAGAGGGGTGTGCATGTTGTGGGGAGAGGGTACTTGTACAGGGCAGCATTAGAAATAGTGAGGAAATTAATTCTTCCTTAATTATCCCTTATTTATTTGAAGTGAATTACTTTCCTTGAAAAATGTGTGAATGTTTCTGTGAACTGTATTATGATAACCTAATCTGTTCTTTTCATGACAGGAGGCTGAACAGTACCCAGGGCGAAATTCGTGTTGGTCCTAGCCATCAGGTAAAGTAAATTTTAGTAGCTTCTTCAGTAGGTTTTTATTTCTTATCATTCTGCTGGTTTTTTATTCTGTTGAGCAGCATGTTTGAACTGTTGTTATTGTTATGGGGAATTTTACATAAATAAAGATTTTTTTTAAAAAATGTGATCTGGGGGGAAAATGTGATAAAATATATATAATGTAAAATTTGCCATCATAACCAGTTTTAAGTGTGCAGCTCAGTAGCATTAAGTACATTGATATTATTATGTAACTATCACCACCATTCATCTCTAGAACTCTTTTTATCTTACAGAACTGAAACTCTATACCCACTAAGCAGTTACTTCCCATTCCCCTTTCCACCATGCCCCTGGCAACCACCGTCTACTTCCTGTCTCTGTATACGTGACTACTCTACCTCATACAAGTGGAATCATACAGTATTTGTCTTTTTGTGACTAGCTTAATTCACTTAGCTTAATGCCCTCAAGGTTCATCCATGTTGTAGCAGGTGCCAGAATTTCCTAACTTTTTAAGGCTGAATTATCCATTGCATGTATGTTTCACAGTTTGTTTATTCATTCATTCATTGATGAACATTTGGTCACCATGCACTTCTATTAAAAAGATTTAAAAACCCCTTTTCTTTCAGAAGAGTCAAGGTAGTTAAGATAATTTTCAGTCAGAGGCCTGTTGTGTTATGACTTGTGCCCTCTCATGTTTTATTCAGTTTACTAAGACTCTTCTGTTTTTGATCTCGGTATCAGTTAGGACACTTTGAATCTCAAGACTCTGGTTCAGCATGCTGTTCATGTCTCACCTGTCAGGACATCCTGGCCAGGCAGGCCCAGGGCTCTGCTGTGCTTCTCTGAGATTCTCTTGGTGCTTTGCTGTCCCCCTTAGAGGGGGAGCTTCATCCTCAGGCTGGTGGCTGAATTTCACTGATTCTAAGACGAACTTTTTCCCTTCACATTTTATTACCTCTGTGGACTTTATAATATATGGGCAGCATTTGTCTTTTTGTATGCACATAAAATAATAGTGGATCTTACAATGGATGAAATACAGCAAGTGTTGAGAGGAAGAAAAAGGATTATGCCTCTTTTCTCCTTAGGAGCAAAGAAAATTTCCCCAGAATGTCTCTAGTAGTCCCCACATCTCACTGCCAAACATTGGGTCATGTGTCCATTTCTAAACCATGAGGAAAATGGGTTTATCACCATTGGCGGGGACTGTCACTTGAGTTGGAGTGGATGCTGGGGAGTCAGCACTTAACGACAGTCACATCGAGCAACGTGAGACACAGGCAGTGGCAACCCTTATAAGAACATAGAGGTTTTAGTAGTCTACCTAGTTATTCATTTTTTCTGTCTAGATTTTGAGCATTTCTTATATGTATGTCATTCACATTTTTTTTTCCTTTTTGTCTTTTTTCGTGACCGGTAACAGGATCACAACCCTTGGTGTCGCGCCCGTACCGGGACCGGCAATGGGATCACAACCCTCGGTGTCGCGCCCGCACCGTGCTCAACCAGTGAGCGGACCGGTCTCTATATGGGATCCGAACCCTCGGCGGGAGCGCCGCCACACTCCCAAGCGCCGCACTCTACCGAGTGCGCCACCGGGCCGGCCCAGTCATTCACATTTTTTAAGAACCTATTTTAACTCTGTAATGAGAAAGAAATTAAGAAGTGAAGCGATATTAAAACCAAAACACAGAAACCATCAGGGGCATATAACTGCTAGAAAACACTTCTCATCCGAGAACTAGGATTATAACTGATAAGTGGCAGAAAGAAAGAGGACACTCTCCTTAATGTTTGCTTTGTTCAAATAAGCCTTTTCTTTTCTTTTCTTTTTTTTTTTTGTCTTTTTTCCGTGTCTGGCAATGGATCGCAACCCTCAGTGTTGCCCCCGCACCGGACCGGGGACCGGCAACGGGATCACAAGCCTCGGTGTTGCTCCCGCGCCTCGCTCAGCCAGTGAGCGGGAGCCGGTCTGTATGTGGGATCTGAACCCTCGGACGGGAGCGCCGCTGCGCTTCCCAAGCGGCGCACTATCCAGTGCGCCACCGGGCCGGCCCCAAATAAGCCTTTTCTTGGTGTGATCTCTTAGGTGGGCCTGACTACCACTGCTGGACTGTATTTTTAATCAAGGAATCTCATACTTGGCCTGGTACCACTCAATTACATCTCTCTTTCTCTGCTTGCTCTTACACTGTGTTTTCCCACCCATTTTTTTTCTCCCTCTATATTTCTGTTGTCCTGAGATCTTTGTACCAATCTTTTATTTTACAGATTTTTTTACCGTAATAGAAAAAGTTGTTCCTAAGTAAAAGATGCTTATATTCTTGAAAAAGAAGCAGATTTACTATGCTTTGATTATTGTATACTTACATTTAAAATCAGATGTTTATTTTATATCAGATTTTAAATATATTTAATATGATTTATTTTCAAAAAGAAATGTTTTGGAGCACTAGAAATAACAGGTTGTTTTTATGAGTTGGCAATGATTTACCTCCTTAAAATTTTTAACTTTTTTATTAGAGAAAAAACATATACAGAAGCAGGGGGAAAATAGTACAATAAAGCCCTTCTCATTACTTGGCTTTCACAAATATCAAATCCTAATCAAACTTGTTTCATTTACTCTCCCTCATACCTCTTCCCACCATTATTTTGAAATGAATCACAAATATATCATTTTACTTGTAAATATTCCAAAGAGAAGAGCTCTTTTAAAAGGCACAATCACAGTATATCACATTAAATAAAAATAAGCAGTTTCCTAATATTCAAGTGTCTATTATATCTAGACTTCTCTTTGTCTCTCTTTCTCTATTTTTTTAGAGTTCAAATTAGAATCTAAATAAGAGCCATTCATTGCAGTTGCTTGATATGTCTCTTAAATCTCTTTTAATTCACAGGTTTCTCCCCTCAACCCCCATATATGTGTTGAAGAAGCTGCGTGTTTTATTTTGTCTTATGGAGTATCCCACAGTCTGGATTTGGCTAATTGCACCTTCATGTTAAAGTTGTTCCTTGTCCTTTTAATTTCTTGACAATTAATAGTTAAGTTTAGAGGCTAATCACATTTTAATTTGGTACCCTGCCTTCTGAAAGAATACTTCATGGGTGGTGGTATGCACAGATTGAGCATCCCTGATCTGAAATGCTCCAAAATCTGAAACTTTGAGCACCAACATGATGCTCAAAGGAAATGCTCATTGCAGTGTTTTGGATTTTGGATTTTGGGATTAAGAATGCTGAACAGGTAAATATAATGCAAATATTTCAACATCCAAAAAAAAAAAAATCTGGAATTCAAAACACTTCCATTGGGTAAGGGATACTCAACCTGTACGTCCATGAGGAATCACATGTGTCTCTTTTTTTAATAATAATTAGCAGCCATTGATTGTTTCTTAAATCCATTATATTATTAGGGATTACAGAATGATATTCCAATTCCTTCACCCCTTTATTTGCTCAATAAATAAAACTCTTCTTACCAATTATTTTGTTCCCCGAATCACATAGGAAAGGCGAGGTAAATGCTTATTTCTTTCCCTCTGTTTACCAGTTTTTCAAAATATTGAGTTGGTTAGTTGATTCCACATCTTCCAGTGGTTACCAGCAGATTTTAAATTGCTAATCTTTAATCAATTTAAATCAGTTCTTACTGATGATTAAATGATTCATTTTGGGCCAGTAGGACCATCTTCCTGCTGTCTGTGTCCTTTTGACTTAATCCCAGTGGTCTTTGGTAGGTCTCTTTTATCTGATAGGACATGATTTTAGTGTCTTGCCTTTTACATTTTCTTCCCTAGATCGGGACTTAAACTTTTCTCATAGGAGCCCTCATTTGGTGTAGGGCGTTCATTCTTATTGGGTTGGTTATTATTCCAAGCCATTTCAGTGCACAAAACTAGGAAATATGCTTTCTTTCTTTCTTTTTTTAAAGAGATAATACATTGTGAATTTATACTGATACTTCTAATTCAAACTCAGATTTTTGTCTAGTTCTTATGTTAATGCTACTGATTTGCTTTAATTCTATAATAAATGTATAACAGCTCATAATAACAATACACTGCTACAAACAATATTGTGTGGCTATTGCAAAGGCCTGGAATCCTCACAGCGCCAATTGTAGAGCTACTCAACCATGCCAGTTGTGGTGCTTTTTTACCTGCTGGTAATCCTGCACCGACTGGGCCAATTGTTGAGCTAGGGCTGGCTCTGAAGCTCCCAGACCCCTCAAGCCCGTTCACAGACTGGATCATAAACCCTTCATATGCCAGGCTGGGTCACCAGACCCCACAAATGCCAGGCTGGGTCACCAGACCTCTTCACGCAGGTCTATGAGGTAGGTAACTGGCCAATAGGTCCTTGGAGCCATAGGTTGGAAAGCATGGCTGCGTGGGGCGGATGCCTGAGGCCGACGCCCGCCCACTTCACCAAAACTCTCTTTCTCTCTCTGCAGAAGAACACAAGAATAGCAACAAAACTAAAAAGATACATTGGTGCGCATGTGCACTAACCACACACACACACACACACACACACACACACAAAATTTGCTTACAAAGGATGCTGAACCACACCCAGCTGGAACTGAGGCAAGGGCCCTGACCAAACTATTCTATTTTCCCAACAAATATGAATATTGAAAACCATTTACTATTACATTTTGTTTTGTCTTTACAATGTATGTTACTAGGGATATATAGGCAAATTAATATGTTTTGGATTTACTTGAGATAGTTCCTAGAGTGGAACTAACTCAGCACATGGTCATATTTTTCATTTGCTTTAGAGTTTTTATGAGAGTGTTATTCTTTAAGCTTATTTTTATTCTTTCTCCCTTCTTAGATAAATGGTAGCGTAATATACACACTTTAAAAAAAATTGTTGAAACAGGATTGTTCATATCTTGGGAAAAGACACACTTTTTGCCACCTTTCTTTTAACAGTATATCCTGGTGTGCCTTTCACAACAGTACACAGAGTTCCTTCTCAGTCCTTTCTACCATTTCATAGAACTCTAGGTAGGGATGTAACAGTGCATCTTCAAATCCCTATTGCTGAGCACTGGGGTTGCTTCTAGTCATTTGCTATTACAGGTAATCTGCAATGAATAGCCTGTGCATGTAGATTTTTATATTTTTGCCAATGTATCTTTGGCCTGTATCCCTAGAAGAAGAGTGTCTGGCTTGGAGGGCAAATGCATTTGTAATTTTGAGGTTATTGTTACATTCTACCCCCCTCCCCACCATAGAGATCGTAAGAGTTTGTATTTACACTAGCAACTTATATATATTTACATGAGTGTTTTTTGTTTTTGTTTTTTCTCCCATAGCTTTGTATAATGTCAGATTTTGGGTTATGCAAGTGTTATAGATGGGGAAACTGTATTTGTGTCATTAATTTGCATTTCCTTTTTCAGCAAGGTTGACTGTTATTTCCTATGATTAAAGGCCATTTGCATTTCTTTTTCTGTAAACTTTAATTATATGCATATCCCTCTTTCTCCAGGGGGGGTTGGTCCTGCTCCGCAACGATAGTACTTTTTAATTAATTTAACAAACAACCGTTGGAGAGCTACTGTGCCAGGTGCTGTACTTGGTGCTGGGGAAGCAGCTCAGTACTAATGTCAAAGACCTTTTGATACTAATATCATTGTGTTTTAATTTTACCCTAGTATTTACCTATATATTAAGCACAACTGATGCTGTAAAGTCAATACCAAGTCAAAGAAGAGCATCCTTGTTTGGAGACGGTCAGAGTTTGATACACATTTAAAGTCATCAAAGGCAAATTCTAACGCTGGGGTTGCAGACTTCTGGCCTGAGAGCCACATGACCTACTGATGTTGTGTTTTACATCCAATTGTTTAAAAACCTTGAATAACCGACATTTAAAACCATGAGTTTTCACATAAAAGTGAAGATTTCTGGTATTTGGAAAAAAATGGAGGCTGGGAAAACACTGGTTCCCATTCCTGAATGGCTGCATTCTCTAGATGGGACAGCTCTGTCTCCATTTCACCATGGTACACTTCATTCCTCAGCACATGACACCTGTGTGTCTGATACGGGAGCCACTGCCACACATTGCTATTAAGCACTTGAAATATGGCTAGTCCAAATTGGGTGTGATGTTTTGTTTATTGTGGCTGCTGGAGTATTTAAAATTAAACATGTGGCTTGTGTTTTATTTCTCTCGGACAGTGTGCTGCCTTAATCCTCTGCCTGCTTTGTTCACTTACATTTTTGTCTGGGCTCTGTGTACACTGGAGCTTTTTAACTCCAGCTTTTAGTTTAAAATACCAGACTAATGTGCCCATGTTCATCATTTAACAAGATAAGAACATGTGAGTCTTGTAAATGTTTGACTTTTTGTATGTCTCTGATGGTTATGGTACTCATAGTACCTGCTTACTCTTGCTGTGCCCCAGCACAGTCAGGATGAGAACGTGCCAGGGATAATCCATTCTAATGACATAGAATTTTGGTTAATGAGCACTGTTGTTCAAATATTTTTTATTCTTTTTGTTGAGGTATACTTTATGTACAGTAAATTGTTCATATCTTATGTATACTGTTCAGTTTACCCTGACAACTCATATCAAGACACAGAACATTTCTTTCATCCCAGAAAGTTCTTTCCTGTCTCTTCACAAGCAATTCCCCCCTATCCCAAGCAACCACTGGTCTGATTTCTATCACCACAGGCCATTTCAGCTATGTTTTTAATGTATGTCCTTTTTTTGATGGTGACCATGACATTGACTCTTTTGACAGTAACAGTAATGTAATAGGATAGTTCACTTAATTTTTTAGCAAGTATCCTTAGGTAAGGTTTCATTATTGCATATGTCTTCTTCATAAATTTGTCATATTAGAAGTGTGTGTGTGTTTCCCTTCATTATCCCCTAAGATATTTTTTGTTATTGTTTATTTTATTCACACATGTCCATTTCTGTTTCAGTCTTTGGATCATGCTGGCACTGTTTACTCTGATATTGTTTGCTGCTGCTTAAATAGAGATTAAGCAGTTCATTGTGAATTCTTCTATGGTGAAGTGATCCTGATATGCAGCGTAGGCCAGTTTAAACAATTCATGGTTTTGCTGTTATTTTTCTGCTGCCTAAAGAAAGAGACTTAGTAAACCATTGCTTCTTTTCCCAAGCCCTGCCTGCTGAGACAGCTCTTTATAATATTTGCCCTGGTGTGACTTCTTCGTCTCTGTCTTACAGGCCAAACTTCCAGATTTGCAACCATTTCCTTCTCCAGATGGTGATACTGTGACCCAACATGAGGAGCTGGTCTGGATGCCTGGAGTTAATGACTGTGACCTCCTTATGTATTTGAGGGCAGCAAGGTAATAGGAAGTCACCCCATCCTGCTTTCTGAATTAAGCCATTGATTAATAGGCAATAAACTTTCTCCTTTCTCTGGGGATTTTATTTATATATTGGGCATTCTCTGACTTTAGGTTTTGTTACATCCTCTGTAATCAGGGCTGTGGTACTGCCTTTTTAAAAACATTTTTTTTTAAATTGAAAATTTTAATTGACACATTGTAATTGTAGATATTTATGGAGTACAGTGTGATATTTTGATACGTATGTATGTTGTATATAATAATCAAGTCATGATAATTAGTATATATATCACCTCATAGGGCCCTGGTACTTCTTGCCAGAGAAAAATAGTTTTCCATGGTAAAGTCATTTTTTTCTTCTTGCTTTTGCCCACATCAGATTTTGGAATTCTTCAGAAGGAAAACATCTTAAGCTATACATGCATTTATCAACATCTCCTAATCCAGTTGAGTAATGGAGTCCTTCAGCTCATCTTATATGATCCTGTTACAGATTTCATGTTATTTCTATTTGTGGCTGTGCATTAGTGCCTGACCCAAACTCGACATTTTTGTGGCTTACCTACAGGAGAACATATACCTGTAATTACTCCACAGAACTTGCTAGCATACAAATGCCTAAAATGCAAAAGAAAAGTTTAAATCCATTTCTAACACATAGAGCAGGCAGTGAGTTTTCCTTTGCCATGATTTCTGGGACTCATTGCGACATCCATAGTGTGCAGTAAGGAAAGCACTCAAGGCATGTCAGCTTGACCTCTGGCTGTTTTCTTGTCATCAGTGCTGTGTGTGGTGGCATATAGTAGAGATGAAAATGTGTAAGTGGAATGAACTACTAAGAGTTTTGGTTTTGTTTCTTTAAAATCTCTTACTTTCCACTTTTAATTCACCTAAAGCTGATTGATGCATAGAGTGAGAGGACTTAAAGTTTGAGAGGATTTAATTTTACATATTTTCTGGAGACTTTCCTTTCAAAAGACTGTGATCTAGTGGAGTATCATAGAAAGTAGTTTAGATTATTCATGTGCTCAAATCCAAAATCTTAGTACTAAAAAAGCATAGGAAGAAATAACACAAATGGATCCAACTAAAAATAATATTTCTCTTTCTGAATGAGTAAAGTTACCTGTAGAGTAACTTAAAAAAATTTTTTTTTTTAGCGTGCAGCCTTGTAACACTAAGGTCAAGGGTTCAGTTCCCTGTACCGGCCAGCTGCCAAAAAAAGAAACAAAGAATTTTTTTTTTTTTTTTTTTTTGGCAGCTGGCCGGTATAGGGAACTGAACCCTTGACCTTAGTGTTACAAGGCTGCACGCTAAAAAAAAAATTTTTTTTTTAGCGTGCAGCCTTGTAACACTAAGGTCAAGGGTTCAGTTCCCTATACCGGCCAGCTGCCAAAAAAAAAAAAAAAAATTTTTTTTTTTTTTTTTTTTTAAACAAGAACAGAGGCAGGACTGAAAGCTCTGGTTTATATTGCATATAGTAATGGAATTTGATCTGGGCTGAAAATGTACTCGGAAAATTGAGGGTTAAAATCTCTGCACTGATGTTACTATGTTCTAATGAAGGAAAAACCTTTCTTTCTTCTAAAGGAGCATGGCGGCATTTGCAGGGATGTGTGATGGAGGCTCCACAGAAGATGGCTGTGTTGCAGCATCTCGGGACGACACCACCCTCAATGCGCTGAACACGGTAGGTCTTTGGAAGTCATCCTGGCCAGGAAGACAGCTCTATTTTTCCCTGGACTGGCTTTAGGGAATTTGTGGTGAGCAGGAAGTAGCCTGCATTCTCAGGAGTGACTACTGTGGTGTGGTGCTGGGACGGACAGATGACTTGTGGTCCTGGCCATTGGGCTCTGTGACCTCAGGCCAATGATGCACCACCTCCAGGTTCATTTCCTAATCTGAGTCTGTGTTGCAGGATTGTGGTGAGCCTCACATGAGATCCTAATAATAGTGGTTGACATTTAACTAAGATCTCACAAAGCAGAGTGCCCATGCATAGACGATCTTGTTCAGTCCTCACAGCACCCCTTTGAAGGAGGTTCTATTATTGTCACCTTTTTAGAGAAGAGGAAATAAGTTTTGAGAGATTAAGTCACAATCCAAGGTCATACACAAGATCTGAATCCAGCAGCCATGTTTTTTAACCATCTTCACTGTGTCTGAGACCATGTATTAGAAAGCGCATGGAGGGACAGGGACAAACTTGTTTTTTATAGAGTTCACTGTGGGACCATGTTAATATTTCACATGATTGTAAAACAAAATTAAGTTTAAAAAAATAACAATCCCTAAAAAATCAGAAGTAAAATGAAACAAGTGAGCCCCATGTTACTGCGTTGGTTGCATGACATACCACTGTAACTATTCATTTGCTCTGCTCTAGTAATATGCACACAGCAGCTCAGAACAGCAACACCCACACCGCTGTAAAAACAGACCAGTTTACTTTTTGTTTTGACACTTCATTTTGGCCTTAGGATATATCTTGTAGAGCTGTATAGGAAAATTAATGTATTTTAAATTTAAATGAATAATTTCTGTTTGTATGGTTATTAATGTGAAATGATCAAATTTGAATAAGAAATAATGAATATTTATGTAATCAATTTCTGATATATTGATAAAGAATCTACATGGTTATGTATATTTACATAGGATATGGAGCATGAAGCTGAGCAACTCTTCCAATGATTGACTACATGTAATTTAAGCACCCATTTTTTTCCTTTAGAGGTCACTACAGTTGGAAGAGACTTTTGAGATCATCTGTTCCAGTCTCTAAATAGATAAGAATCCAAGGCTTGGAAAGGCCAGATGCCTTTTGAACACCGACAATCCAAAAAGTTTATAACAGAGGGAAGAAAATAATCTTCATTCCCAATTTAGGGATCTTTTTACTGCACGGTTTTTTCTACACCATAGAAAGTTTGCTTTCAAGGAAACATATGTAGATATCTACATGATATGGTTGATTTTTATTCCTGGTCTAATTAGGTTTTTTGGGTATTACATAACATTATAATAGTCTCTTGTATGTTGAAAGTTGAGTGATCTTGCTGGGAATATGCTGTGTTATAAATAACTGAATGTGTTTTCACATTCCTATAAAATATATTTGCATATTTTCTCATTTCTTTGATAGTTAGCTTGTGTTTTTTATTTGTTTGTTTTTAATAAGGACTCTTTATTCTGAGCATAAAATGATAGCTGGAAGGCGCCTTTGACATTACTTTTCAGGTGAGGAAACTGGCATTCAGATTAGTGATACTGCAAAAATTGGCTGTGATAAGTTAGGTGTGAATGTCCATGAATTCAGAGTATCTTAAAAGTGTGTGTACATTCAAAAAAAGTTTTTGATAGGAACTTTCTTCATTTGAGTTTTTTGTATAAAAGTCTTATGAAAAAAAATTCTGCTCTCATGACTATGCTAATAAGTTGAAGTTTGAATAATGAAGGTTTTGCCATGTTTAAATGTCTATTTTTGGCACTTTACTGAATTTATACAGTGTATTGCCTGTCTTATTCCAAACCCTCTAAGGATTCTGCAGAACATACTTCTGTACAGAAATGATTTTGGCTATTTTTGCCTATTGTCCTTCGTGGCAAATTCCTTCTGAAGGTTTCCTTATTATTGCCAGAGTTTTTGGTTTTATGAGTTGTTATTTCTGTGATGCTGCCTTGTCATCACTTGAAATTCTTCCTGTCTGGACTGGCCCAAGATGGCTCATGTGTCTTGAGTTATACAATACAGGTACATTTAGCCACCAAAGGACTGTGTACTATGTGCTTATTTTGTGATGAACTGAAAAGTTTAGTGCTGTTTTAATTTTTGTACTTTATTGTTGTACTGGCTCACAGAGAGTTTTAGTTGGAGGCACTTTCCTTAATGAAAAGTGAAATGAGTGAAAAAATCTTGTGAAAAGTTAGTGTTCATTTTGACTTCCTTAAAATAATGGGAGATTTGAGCTTGTTTTACTCTAAAAGTAAAGAAAGATATATACATTGTGTGAGAAGTATTTATTGTTTTCTTAGAGTATAGCATAAATTTAAGACAAAGTTATTCATTTATCAATTTAGAATAAACCTGTGAGTGGTTAGTGTCTTATTTCCTGTTTCCCAGGGTATTATATATATGGCCACATTATATATAGCCACATTAGAGTGTGTTGAACATCCCAGTAGGACTGTTTAAATATAAGTGCATTTGAATAAATAGTTTAATTTTTAAAACTGCATCTGCTAATAGAAAATTTTTGAACTGTCAGTTCTTTATGGCAGTTATATGGATCTATTTTTAAATTTAAGCCCCTGGATTACTTATTTGGTCTCTGTTTTTTCTTCATTATTCACAAATGAGATTTTTATTGTGTAATTTTTTTTTTTTTTTTGTCTTTTTTGTCTTTTTTGTCTTTTTCCGTGTCCGGCAACGGATCGCAACCCACAGTGTTGCCCCCGTACCGGACCGGGGACCGGCAACGGGATTGCAACCCTCGGTGTTGCTCCCGCGCCTCGCTCAGCCAGTGAGCGGGAACCGGTCTGTATGTGGGATCCGAACCCTCGGGCGGGAGCGCCGCCGCGCTTCCCAAGCGGCGCACTATCCAGTGCACCACCGGGCCGGCCCTATTGTGTAATTTTTAAAACAACTTATTGAAGTATAAAATATGTATGATAAACTGCTCAGATTTAGTCTTCAATTTGATAAATTTTTTCAGATGTATGCACCTGTGAAATTATGATGATCAAAATACAAAACATTTTCAACACCCCCAAATGGTGCCTCATGTCTTCTTATAGTCCTTTTCTGCTTCCAGCCTCAGATAAGCACTGATATGTTTTCTTTCATTATACAGTAGTTTGCATTCTCTGGAATATTACGAATAGAATCATATATTCTTCTTGGTCTGCCTTCTTTCAGTGTAACAGTTTTGAGATCCATTTATGTTGTTTCATGTATCAATAGTTCATTCCTTTTTATTCTGAGTAGTAGTCTGTTGTATGGGTATACATATATTAACAATTTTTTTATCCATTCACACTGTGATAAACATTTCGGTTGTTTCCAAGTTTTTGGCTATGATGAATAAAGGTTTTAACATTGTTGTACCAACCTCTGTGTGGACATGTATTTTCACTTCTCTTGGGTAAATATCTAGGAGAGGAGTGGCAGGATTTTATGTGTGTAGATAATTTTTTAAGAAACTGTCAAACAGGTTTCAGAGTGGTCACACCATTTTAAATTCCCATCAGTAGTTAGAATTTCAGTTCTTCAACAGCTTCACCAAGACTTGGTATTGTTAGTTTTTAAAACTTATAGTCATTCTAATGTGTAAGCAGTGATATCTCATTGAAGTTCTAATTTGAATTTCCTGATTGTTAGTGATGTTGAGCATCTTTTCACGTGTTATTGTCCATTTGTGAAGCATCTGTTCAAATCTTTTGTCCAATTTTTAAAATTGAATTATTTGTTCTTTATAATTTAGTTGTAAGAGTTCATTTATATTCCAGATAGAAGTCCTTTGATGTATGCATTGTGAATGTTTTCTCACATACTCTGGCTTTTTCGTTTCTTAATGATGGGTTTAATATTTAATTTTGGTAAAGTTCAATAAGCCATTATTTTCCTTTTATGGAAGTATCTCTGATTACTCCTAGATTACAAAGATTCTGTGCTTTCTTCTAGAAGTTTTAATTCTTACAGTTAGGTCTATGATTCATTTCGAATTAATTTTAGAATCTTCTGATCCATAGTCAGATACGTTATCTATTGCACCACTGGCCCTGTTCAAATTAATTTTATATGTGATGCAAGATGGGGGTGAAAGTTCATTATTTTTTACATAGTAGATACCAGTTGTTGGAGCAACATTTGTTGAAAAACTTTTCTCATTTCATTGCCTTAACGCCTTTATTGAAAATCAATTGCTTGTATATATTTGGGTCTTTCTCTGGATTCTCTTCTATTTTACTGATCTAATATCTATCTTTATCAGGACCTCAATATTTTGAATACTGTAGCTTTAATTTCTTACAGTAAGATTTTGTAGTTTTCAGTGTACAGGTCTTACATGTATTTTGTTGAATTCACTGCTGGGTAATTCCTGTTTGAAGATTCTACTGTAGATACAATTGTATCTTTTCATTTCAATTTCCAAATGTTCATTGATAGGATAAAAATATGATTAATTTTTATGGGTTGATGTTGTATCCTTTGCCCCTGCTAAATTCACTGATTAGTTCTAGTAGATTTCTGGTTGATTCCTTAGGATTTTCTATGTACATAATCATGTCATGTGCAAATACAGTTTTACCTCTTCCTTTCTGATCTGTGTTTTATTTCTTTTTCATCCTGTCTTCCACTCTCTCAGACCTCCAGTGCAATACTGTATAGAAGTGTTGAGAGTGGACATCTTTGCCTTCTTTCTGATCTTAGAAAGCATTCAGTCTTTTACCATTAAGTACAATGTAGAGTTTTTGTTATTTTTTAATCAAGTTGAGCGTGTTCCCTTCTATATCCAAGTTATTGAGGTTTTTACTGTAAATGGACACTGAATTTTGTCAGTTGCTTATTAAAATTTTTGCATCTAATGATATCATCATATGGTTGTTATCCTTTATCTTTTTAAAATGGTAAATTACATTGATTGAATTCAAATGTTAAGCTAACTGTTCATTCCTAGGATAAATCCT